GACAGCATATAAAGGCATTGAAGCCTGAAATAGCACAGGAAAAAAATGTACATTTACTGATAATTCCGTAGAGAATAAAACAATTTTACTTATTGTGGTGTCACAGTCTACCATTACTTAATATTACACAACTTCATGTATATTGTACAAACTTTATAACAGTACATTTTTTTTTCTAATGGCAGTGTTAGACTGCAATACTTTTTAATAGAAAGGTAAGAAATAAACCTGAGAGATTTGCCTCCAGCAACAAAAATGGGTGTGAGGGGCAAAATATTCAAGTTTGTATAACACTTATGACATTAAAATAAATGGAACAAAAGAAATTTGCCAATGTGAGGTGACTTGAGGTAAGACACGTTATTATTTTGGGTGTGGAAGCCCTAAAAGTTCAAAAGCCCCCCTAACCCCCACACCCCCACCTCCCTCAGTGCCTGAATTTTCCTTGTTGGTCCTCTTTATGAGTTAAGAGCTGTGATATGAAAGGCAGATATTTTACCCCTGGGTAGGACCCATTTCCTGGATTGCAATGGGGTGTGTTGGAAAGTGCACCCACTTGGCAACTGGAGACAGTTTCAAGTCTCCCTCGGCCACTTGCTCACTCGCTGTGGCCCTGGGCCAGTTCCTCAGCGTCTCTTGGCATTAGGAGTCTAACTCTGAGTCTGATGCATAGAAAGTGCTCACATATTCCTTGTCTTTCTGTATCTTTCCCATCCAAATTTCCTAAACTGCTGGGGTCCAACCCCAGCAGGTCCAGGGGTTCCCCATAGGTGTGGACGGAGTCGGCGAAGAAGGAATGACACAGAGACAGCATTCAGTTGATCAGCAGCCTAGGCAGGATCTCTAGCCAAGCTCTGGTCAGGATCTCCAGCGAAGTTCTGGTTAGGATCTCCAGCCAGGTTCTGAGTCCATGTTCTCTTGCTAGGTTCTTCAGCCAGGTTCTCCAGTTTCTCCAGCCAGGTTCTGTAGCCATGTTCCCTCGCTAGGTTCTCCAGCCAGATTCGGTCGTCAGGTTCTGTGTCCAGGTTCTCCAGCCAGGTTTGGTCACCAGGTTCTAGTCAGGTTCTCTTGCCATGTTCTATCTAGGTTCTGTAGCCAGGTTCTGTCTCTAGGTTCTTCAGCCAGGTTCTCTCGCTAGGCTCTGTCTCTAGGTTCTGTTGCCAGTTTCTGTCCAGGATCTTTTGCCATGTTATGTCTCTAGGTTCTGTCTCTAGGTTCTGTGTGTAGGTTCTGTCCAGGATCTTTTGCCATGTTCTCTCCAGCGAAGTTCTTCTGTATCTAGGTTCTGTGTAGGTTCTGTGTCTAGGTTCTGTCCTATAATAGTACATTTTCATGTCCCCTTCTCATCCTTGCTATTATTGTTGTCAAACATTTTATTTCTATATATGTTATAAGTTCCACATGCATTGTTATTATTTTCGTTTTAAAAATGATCAATTATCTTTTTTCTAAAAATATTTTTATTGATTTCCGAGAGGAAGCTAGAGGCAAAGAGAGATAGAAACATCAATGATGAGAGAGAATCATTGATCAGCTGCCTCCTGCACACTCCCCACCAGGGATCGAGCCCAAAACCCTGGCATGTGCCCTGACTGGGAACTGAGCCCTGCTTTCCTGGTCCGTAGGTTGACACTCAACCACTGAACCACACCGGCTATGCTAAATGGTCAAATATCTTTTAAAGAGATTTCTTAAATTGGAAGATATCTTTTTTCCCCCCCAAATATGTTTTTATTGATTTCAAAGAGAGGAAGAGAGAGGGAGAGAGAAACATCAATGAGAGAAATATCCATCAGCTGCCTCTTGCACTCCCCCTAGTGGGCTGGCCATGTATCCTGACCCAGAAATCAAACCAGCAACCTTGTGCATAGGATGATGCTTAACCAAATGGACCACACCTGCAGAGCAGAAGATATATCTTTTTTGGAACCATTTCTGGTGTTCTTTTTTTTTTTCAGTCCACACCTTGGTGATATTTTTTTCCATTGCTTTTCAGAGAGAGTAGATAGAAGGGAGGGAGGGAGAAAGCAGAGAAAAGAGGGAGGGAGAGAGAGGGAAAGATGTGAGAGACACATCGACTGGTTGCCTCCCACATGCTCCCCAGCCAGGGACAGGGAGTGAATCTGCAACTGAGGTAGGTGCCCTTGACCAGGAGTTGAATCCATAACCCTTCAGTTCACAGGCTGTTGCTCTAACCACTGAGAAACACCAGCCAGGGCCATTCTGACAACTTTGGAAGAGTAA